ACATTTCACATTTGTTAGATAATAACAGCAGTACTGATATATTATTAAATGCTTATGGAGCTGTGAAATGTCTTTCTGTTTGTTCATCTCTCTTTATGTGGAAAGAAAAGCAGGTTTAGTGGTTTTGTGGTCCAGGTGAAGCTTTTGTGGCTCTTGGCTGTCAGATAAATTTGGCGCACCTCATCATTCTTACCTTCTAGGTGAAACACAGTCTGTCACTTCTGTGGAAAGGAAAAGAACCTCTGGAGCCCCAGAGCTTTTAACCACCACCTTCTGTGCTAGCTGCTGCTGGACTCTGGGCTACAACTTGTCAGTCCTGTGTATAGATGTTTGAAAGCACAGCAGTTGTACATATAATACAAAACCAGCGGAAGTGCCATAGTTACCACCTGTGTGACTTGTGGCATTTTATATTGGTTTGCCTTTCCCCCAGTAGTTAAAATTCACAAACGAGACATTATACTTATTACCACTTATTATATTTATTGCACGTAGCTTGTTTAATACTGACAATATATAGAACATGTCCACCTTCGTTTTGTTTGACACGGTGTTTGGCCACTGTGGTATGTGATGGAATAGATGCCATGTTTAGTCAGAGACTCTCACTAAAGAACAGCACTGAGATGCAGGTTGGACATCTCTATGCATGAGGTGTGACTCAAGTATTTCTAGGTCTCTGCTGGAGTTTTCAGACGCATGGCCTTGCCATAATCTCATGACTAACACGACTGTCATCCCAGCTGGTATGTGAATGTGTTTCCTAACATGACGTCACACAGAACCTGTCAGGCCTTCCCCACTGAATCATGTTACCGGTACGATGCACACACCGAGAGCCCATCAGAATCCCTTGAAGCCCCTATAGTGATTTATGCAGATGCTTTGACTCATTATTATGCTGAGAGGAGGAGGATGGAGAACTGAGAAGGGAAAAACAGAAAAAATGTCCTACTTTTTGAAAGGCTGATATTTGTAACTGCTCATTACTTCTGTTGGTTGGGAGGTTATTTTAAGTACTGTACAAAAACATATGTACTAAACCTGCCCTGATTCTGCTTTGAGCCCTCTGAGGTGCAACTGCTCCTGGTCAGTCACACCTATTTGTGGTTTATTTTGGTTTCAGACATGGTTCAGTTCACCAAAGGACTTAGTGCAAGTGTAGCAGTGTTGCCTTACTTTGGTTCAGTATCTGCTGTTAAGTTTTATCTTCTTTTAGAGTCAAGCAAAAGCACATCTGCATATCTCTCTGCATGATATTTAACTCTGAAGATATTAAATCATATGATAATAAAGATCCAAACGAGACAAAATACAAATATTACTGTGTAGTGCACAAGTAATAAAAAGGTAAGAATGTTTGCAGCAGTGATTGGTCCAAAATATAAACTGCTGATCCTTGTACGGCTACCTTCATTGTTCTGTTTTATAAATAACACAAAGAGATCACAAGAGATCTTCAGACACCCACATTTGGCTCGATTCAGCTTTTCTGAAGCTGTATCATGAACAGATACAAATATTTTGGGAAGTACAGATATTTGCTTTTTGGCTGAACTGTTCGTGTGTCTGTACAATGAGTATGAAGATAAGCAGCCTCTTAGTTTAGCTTAGCATACAAGCTGAAACCAGGAGGAAACAGCTACTGTGGCCTGGCTCCTCTAAAACCTGATGTCTGCACCATTTCTTAGTTCTTTAAAAGAAGCCTTAAGATTTTTCCATGCTGCTGCCTTTCACATCTTGCACTGTAACTGTACTTTCCTGTTAAATGTTTTCTTTTCTAGCTTTATCTTCTGTTATATTTTAATCACTATAAATTTTCTTTTTATATCGTCTACCTCTGAAGGAAAATACCTCTAAAATTCAAACTACTGTTAGTAGTATTAGTGATTGTGTTTTTAAAAATCATTCAGTCATCATTTTGTCCCTCTTTCTTGCTGCAGTGCATCAGGGAGGATAAAGTCTGTCTCACAGGGCTCTGGAGGTTATGACAGCGACAGTGTTGAGATGCATCCCATGGAGGATTGTCCCGAGGCTCAGTACTATCACATGCAGTGCAGGCTGGGTGAGGGGGGTTATGAGCGCTCCCCTGGGTGTGGTGGCGGCGGCTCAAGAAACTGGGGTCTCCGTAAACAGGCCATCCAAAACTGGCAGCGACGACCTTATAGGAACAGCACAGAAGGCGAGGAAGGAGACGTGTCAGATGTGGGCTCCCGGACCACTGAATCTGAAGTGGAGATGTGGGAACAAGAGAGGAGAGCCGTGGCTGAAGTCCAGCAGTCTTCTGCACCCTATCGTCACTATGGCAGGGCAGGATACCGCCCTAACACAGGTAACGTCTCTCTGTGAAGCTACTGAGAGCAGGAGAGATGGTTAGTCTTAGGAGCCAGGAGCCAGGACATCGCCAAATACAGTAAAGGCTGTGAAACGACTCCCTTAAGGGCATGGACTGATGTGGATCTAGGTCAGGTTGAGTTGCAGGCACTGACTGTAATGCTGCAGGAGACCAAAGCTCATGGTACAAACTGCATGTTGATCAGCCATGAGCATATACAGTATATGGTAATCACAGAGGGACGAGGTTCAGTATCTGCTACAGTGTGTAAACAGACTTCATAAACACTTGTGCAAATGTTTGATTATCCATTTTTTCCAAAAGAATTTTTCATTATCTGAATCATCTCAGCTTGTCCTCTCGTACTAATCTACTGTACAGTATGACTGAGCCCAGTTAGACAGCCAGTCTGCACATTACTCCAGCTCCACCATAGATTGTACATCTTTTTGTTAACTTCCTGCCTTGCCAAGCTCTTTAAACTTGCTACTGCTGCCCTCCATTTTTCTCCACTTCCTGTCTAGTTTCTTCTAAACCACCAGGTGGACTTGGGGAGTCTGGGAATATGTGAAACTGGGCAAGAGCCCTGTGACAAATTTGTATGACCTGCTATGACTGCCCTATTAACTCTCAGATTTTTCTCATGTAACACTTGTGTTACCGGCATTTGTCGGTTCTGACGTAGCTCTCTTGCTAGGGTTTATCAGATGGTATGTTTCCCCACCAGCACACAGTTTTTTCTCATCATATAACACACAGCTTGGCTTTTTTAGCTCATTTGACAGTCTTGAGTGTAGGTGGTGTGTGTTTGTGAGAGAAAAGGAGAGAGAGAGAAAAAGAGGAAGAGTGAGAGTGTAAGCAATGGTTCGTAGCCCTGATGGTTTTGAGCAAACGCCTTACAAGGCCAAATATGAAATGAGTCATCTAGGAGCAATCTTGCTGGAGATTCGAGGAAGAAGCCAGGCTTGGACTGGACACATGGTATCAGCGAATAGATGGCAGCAGAGGGGATACAAAGATGAAAAGAGAAGGGGGGAAAAATGTCATCTCATTTAATGTCTTGTGAAGGTTGGCGCCACCATGTGACAGAATGACTGAGTAGCATCTTTACATCAATTCTAATAGAGACTGGCAGTACGGGGTGAGACACAAAAGCGGGAGCAATATGCTCTCTTCTGTTCTCAAAGCTGGGATTCTGCTTCATTCTACAAATAGCTTTCTAATTTATGTCTTTGAGAGTAGTCAGAGTAAGAGGAAATGAAAGCTTATGTTTAGTTTTTGTGTCTTTTCTGCCCTTGTGATCATTAAGATCTCAGCTCATTGTAGTAAAAACAATCAAGGTACAATACACTTCAGAATCTACTGAAATTTTTGAGATTCCAAAATTATAATAAAATCCTTAAGTGTTAAAATCCAAATTCATCCTGGCTTTTTCCCCACAGGTCGGTCGGAAGGGGTCTACACCAAGCCGTGCTGCCATGAAAAGAGTCCGTCCAAATCCAACGAGGTGATCAGTCCGGAGATTCTGAAGATGCGTGCAGCTCTCTTCTGCATCTTCACCTACCTGGACACTAAAACCCTGCTGAGAGCTGCCGAGGTCTGCCGCGACTGGAAGTTTGTGGCTCGCCACCCGGCTGTGTGGACCAGAGTGCTTCTGGAAAACGCTCGCATTTCTTCCAAGGTGCATAGTGACTGTGTATGCAGTCAATGCTGAGCAGCGTTAACACAGTAGCATTTAACTGTAATGTCAGTTTTGAATGTTAAGAAGATTTGCCATGTTTCTTTCTTAGCTACTGAGCACATTATCACAGTGGTGCACTCAGACACACTCCCTCATCCTGCAAAACCTCAAACCAAGACAGCGAGGCAAGAAGGAGACCAAGGAGGACTACCTTAAAAGCACACGGTGAGAAGCACATGCAATCTAAACAGAGACAGATACAGCAGGGATTTACAGTTACACGCTTTGGGCTCTCTGTCACTCTGGGCATGTTTATTTCATTGTGTATTGTTTTGACACACATTGCTTTACAAACTACTGACTGAGTGACATAGTAAATGACTCCTAAAGCTTTGATCGATGAGAAAGGAGCCAATGAGAAGAGCACAGGTTGTTGCAAACTGACATTTTTGTGCTGTTTGATTATGATCATCTTGCAATTTTTTATGACAAGTAGAAGTTTAGTGGGAAAAGGGTAAAAAGGGCATGTTGTAGCTCAAAGCATTTGTTTAGACACTCATGTCAGTATGCTGTTTCTTGTATATATTTTCCCACAAGCATTTTGTTATGTGCTATAAAAAGTAGAAGTGCTTTTCTGAGGGACAGGAGTATTACTTCCACTGCTCTGCCTGTCTTTTTCTGTGGACCTTTACTTACATCTCCACCTAAGTGGCTGTCTGGAGGAGGGTCTGGAGGGGCTGCTGAAGGCCACAGGAAGTAATCTGCTAATACTGAAGATTTCACACTGCCCCAACCTGCTGACTGATCGCTCCCTCTGGCTGGCCAGCTGCTACTGCCGAGCTCTGCAGGCTGTAACCTACAGGTAGACGGCACACTTGGCTCTCATTTCTTGTACAAAGTAACAATTTAATAATTTATCAAACATTGGACATACAGTATCAAACATAGGTCATATAATCTTAAATTGTTATCTTTGTTGCAGAAGTGCCACAGACCCAGTGGGCCAGGAGGTGATCTGGGCCCTTGGAGCAGGTTGTAGAGACATCATTTCCCTGCAGGTGGCGCCCCTGCACCCATGGTAATAAACAAAGAAATATACAACATCTCTGCAGCCTTGATTACAGCTAAATGCTTTATGTTGTGATAACCTATACTGTAGTGTAATCAGTGGACATGGCTTTAATTTCTTTGTGTCTTTCAGCCAACAGCCAGCTCGTTTCAGTAACCGATGTCTACAGACTATTGGAAGATGCTGGCCACACCTCCGCGCTCTCGGTGTAGGAGGAGCTGGATGTGGCATTCAGGGACTGGCCTCCCTGGGTAAATGTTGTGTAGAAAACAATAATTAACAGAGTTGCTTTGTTTCAGTGATTTCTGCAATGACTCTGACATATTTTTTTATTTTTACTTCATAATTAATTGTAATCCACATTCATGAATGTACTGTGTTGCATAACAGTGAAGGGACAGAAGTAGTTCTCAGGCTAGATGATAAAAAAGGTATATATGAGGATATACCCTAGAACAGATGGCAAAAATTCCATTTGACCAGAAACTGAAATCTTTCCCATTTGATACAGTAGTCTTTGAGTCACATACTAATTCAAAGTGATTATTTCAGTATTAAAACAAGTAAATCTATTCATATGCAATCTTTTTACAGCAGTGTACATTTCAGCATTTATGTGCAGTGTATTATGTTCACATTCTCGTGCTTTATCTTCCCTAACTGTTCCTTTATTTCCCCTCCTGTCAGCGAGGAACTGCATGCGTCTCCAGGTGCTGGAGTTGGACCATGTGAGTGAAATCAACCAGGAGGTGGCAGCAGAGGTTTGCAGAGAGGGCCTGAAGGGTCTGGAGATGCTGGTGCTCACTTCAACACCAGTCACCCCGAAAGCCCTGCTTCACTTCAATAGTGAGTTTAGCAGTACTGTGCTGACTAGAGTAGGCCTGAATCAAAATGTCAAAATGGTTTCATGCAAGTCGTACCAAGCTAAGGTGCATTTACTTTTCATTTAAAACTACTTCTAAATAATACCAGCTGACCATAAATCCTCCTCTCACTCATGTAGGTGTTTGCCGCAACCTGAAGTCCATTGTGGTTCAGATCAGTATAGAAGACTACTTTGAGGACCCCAACAGTCCTGAAGCTAGAAAACTGTTTGACGAGATGGTTAACAAGTTGCAGGTAACGGCCCCCGTGTGTCTCAGATCAAACCAAGCACTCGCATATACTGTTCAGTTTGACATGCATGTCAGCTAGTGAGTCATACCGTACCAATTCACTAACAAATATCAAGACAACGAGCAATGAGGAAGAAGCCCACTGGGAACCAATGTCCTTTTCTCTAAAACCACAGTCAGGCTTAACTTTCCATTTTCAAGATGAGCAGATACAATATTTCCTGTGCACATTCAGGCTCCTAACAGAAAGAATTATTGTTTTTGGTCACTGCACAAGTTTTCCCTCATTGTTACCATTATAGCTGCACAATTTTTCTTTAATGTATAAATCCTTCAGGTGCAGTGTTGACCTATGTGAGGGTCATGGCTATCAGAGAGGTTTGGTGTTTGGTTTTTCTTTTTATAGCCAACATGTCCTTGGAGACGTGCAGCACTGTATATACATGACTAACAGTTAGGTTCATAGTTGTTCAGAGGCTATGATGTGTCTATTTTTATTTCAACTACACACCATTTAAACCATGACTCAATCCCTGAAATCCCGGTGATGGTTATTTGTGGACGTGCTGGCGCTAACTGACTTGAACACGGGCTCATTGTGCAAGGCCTGGGTCATCCTTATGGCTGACCGCACACAAACAGAGAGTTTAAAAACACTGTGAAATCCCAGGTTTTATTTGTGTTTTGTCTTGTTTTTTTGGTCAGTGAGTCAGTTTACAGTCAAGATGGTGGGATTGCTCACAGCAGTTAGGTAACCTCTGAAAGCTGCAGACAGCTACGATTTATTTTTATCTCTCCCTTTTCAGATTTACTGTGAAAAGAAAGAACACCAGGGATGTTTAATCATCTTCTTTTTTGAAGCAAGTTCTGTAGAAGTGACACTCAAGAGGGGTTAGAGTTGCACTTCAGTGCTTTAGTCTTTTTTTTTTATTTGCTTCCTGTTATACATCAGTTATTGTGCACACTTACTGCTAATGAAAGAGAATATAAAAGCATGGGGATGGAGGTTGGTAGAAATAAAATGTCTGACTTTCAGATATTTAGAGGAAAAAATCACACGTGTTGCTTTAAAAAAAAAAAAAAGATTCTGATGTCCTTTCATTCCTTTTTCTTCAGGCTCTGAAGAAGAGACCTGGCTTCTCAAAAATCCTTCATGTGAAAGCAGACAGTCTCTGCTAACATCATTTGTGCACATTCTTCAAGTCTTGGGAGAGGTAACATCTTGGCTTCAGTCAATCCAAAACAAAGGTCCATGTGCATCTGCAGCACCAACTGAAACAACAGAAGAGATTGCCATGATGAGCCAGGGCTGGGCTCAATATGCATACTGCACAAGTACAAACTCGAAATCGATATCTCCGTAGTGTTGGTTGTAACAGAAAGTGAGGTGAGGAGGCTTATTTGAACTAACAATGCCACTCTATACAGTATGAGATGAAGGGCCTGTTTTAAACTTGACAGACTCAACCCAATAAAACTGTCAGGTCCTTCTTTCTAAGACGTGTTCTGCTTTCACCATTAAAACGGATCATGTCATCGCACAGAGCCAGATCCTTTCTTGAAACACCCGGAGCCGGGTGACAGCACTGTATTTTAACTGTCTGCATCTCCATAATGCTTGACATAAAAACCTGAGGCTGCCTTCAACACCAGTAGCTTGTGGGCAGGAGCACATTAAAGCATACATACTGTACTTCTCGCAGAGAAGAACATTAAATGGTGGTAAGTTTAAGAAATTGTAGTGAGACTGATCTTGAGTCTCCAGAAAGAGTCAGGAGCTTTGTCCATGTGTGCCTGGGTGAGTGAATGCATAAATAGACTATTTGAGAATTGAATAAACGGTTTTCACCCAGCCTGCCCCGGTCTACTGCATGTTGAAACTGGACAATGGATAATATTTATTGCTTCCACCCAGAACAGGACCGTTGTTGCACCAGCTCCAGGTGCAGCAGTGAGAGCAAGGACAGCCTCCCCCAACACACAGACCTTGACAGTCTTCTATGTGCTGCATGGCAACGATGCATTTAGCCTCATCTACCATCTTCTGCTTCCTCATGTGATCAAGATCGTGTCACAAACCTGGACTCAGTATTTTGTTGTAGGATCACTAAACCTGTTAAGAGGACAAGATGCAATACCTGATCTGCTTCAACACAGCTAGATGATCTGTGATGCATTTCTCTCACAGACTGGTGCCATTTATATCAGTGTCTGTCCTCACTCCAGTGAGCATTTCCTCCAATGTGCCATTAATGTCGGAAGAGGGACCATGTAATGCAGATCTTTATTCTCGTCAAATCAAGGTAACTTATTGGAGTTGGATTTGAGTGGAAGCAGCTCTTACTCAACATAAGGATTTGTATTTCCTACAGAATATGGTCTCCAGTTGTCAAGTGGTGTTATAGTGTTTAGATATCTTCAGTGATTCATACTTAACCATACTAAATAGTGCCATTGTTCATTCATAGGGCTCATCATGGTTGAGTCCCTGTACAGTACTAATTTATACTGCTCATTTGACATCCTGTGGCTCCCTCTGCTGGTGGTTTCAGGTGGTTACACAGCTGACAGCCAAACTCAAAAGCAAGAGGTGAAGTCTCCAGTCCCACCTTCAAATTGGCGCAGTCCTTGGATTAGCTTAGTGTATGTTGCAGCAATTCCAAGAATTCCCACCAAAATCAATCATGAGAAGCACTCGGCCTGTGAAAACAGTTGTATGTCTTATGTGGCTCAGAAGGAGTTTTGACAAGTCTGTGAAAAATAATCCTGATGATGTAATCAGGGTTGTTTCTGCTTGGAGATTACAAATTTACCAGTGTTACTGCTGGTACGTGTGGAGTTTGAAAGAGGCAGGTGTTTACAAGGCAGGGAGGGTCAAACAAAGAATAAACGGAAGGGTAAGATTCACTGTTTTTGTAGCTTGACCTAAACTATGGACCAAAATTTAGGATTTCTCATATGCTGTATTGATTTTGAAATCTCTCACCCACATGTCCCTCAACTTTATGAAAGTGCAATACTAAATCTCTGGAGTACTCTTTTAAACAGAACTCCTACTAAACAATCACTTTGATTTTAAGAACCTGTGAATACACTTTTGAAACAGGTTTAAGAATTAACATTGACGCAGGTTTCTTAATAAGTTGCGCAGTTCATTTGTTTCTACAACAGACCTTAATGTGTTAAGGGTCGATTGTGCATCAGAGCAAGGTGACCGTTTACAGTAATGCCAAGCAGGGGTTTGCCATGTGGGCTTTTCGGTCAGTAATGTTTGAAGACACGTGGCTCCATATTGTCCTGTAGTAATGATATTCCAGGTCAATATGTGAGAATAGTTGTGGATGTCCATTACTTCATGTTCTTCCAGTACTGCATATTATTATCCTGCACTGGTACTGATTGTCTGCTCAGTTTCATTGAGGAAAATGGGTTTCTGGGCAAATGTCACAATAGAGAAAACACAAAAAGCACTTGTTGATTTTGAGTTTTAGACAATCTTGCCTTCACTATCAACTATTCTGTACATACTGTTTGTTTAAAAAAAAAAAAAAAAAAAGCAAAAACAGCAGCAACAAAAAAGGACCAACATTTGATGTTATATAATATTATGGTCATAATTATGAGTGGAAACAGTTGACGTTTACAGGTCTTCATTCTGTAACCATATTCTCTCCAAAGCTGAATGAAAGATGAACAAAGAGAATTATATTATGTATAACAGTAGTGTTGAACTTGTGTATTAGATACTTTATATTAAATGTGCATCAGAGTCATATAGAGATGGAAATTATTTAAGAAGAGGATAAAGATGATAATTCAGCTATTTATTTCTATAAAAAAAGAGCTATGTGTATAATGTTGGCATGTTTGTGTTCAAGCATCAATCATTAAGTTGCCTTCTTAACTGTTTTGCTACTGTGGCAAGAAAACTATTAGATGTTTAAAGAGCTTTGATTGCCTGCAGGTTAATAACTTTTTTTATTTGATCAAGTCTTGTTGCACTAGTGAGAAAATATATTTCCGATGTTTATTACAAAAGTGTTTTTAATGTTCAGCTATTCCTCAATATTTGACTAAATATGATGCACTTTTTTTCTGGAACGCTTATTGGCCCACTGGTTGTTGGTTTAGTCCGAAGCGACAAAGGTTACAACCTGGTGGCATCTTTTGGTTTAGTCCGAAGTGACAAAGGTTACAACCTGGTGGCATCTTCTATTGTCGTCCGAAACTGACTGGTCACTTACATGTTCGGCATCATGGGAAGACGGTTTCGATAGCACGGCAATGACATATGAACTTCTACAAGTGAACAGATGTAACGTTGGCCACCTTTATCCTCGCACCATTTCTCATGTCTTATTCATTGGGAAGTTGTGGTTAAACCTGATTCAGCTGCATTCAAGTGCTTTTTTAGGTTCATTGTCTATGACATTATGCTCGCCTCTTTGTTTTTGCCTTGTACTGCTCTCACATCAACAGTACAATTTGCTTTACTGTGAACATGGACCTGCTGAAGATTTTACAGAGCCTGTGTGCTCTGAAACTGCAGATTAAGCGCCAAGTACGCCAGAAAAATATTTTGGCTTGCATGTGGATTTTTCCGCCTCCGAACGTCAACCTGATTGTCTGATTTAATTTATTTTACTGATTTCAAAATCTGAAGCAACTATAAACCCTAGTGCTTCCTCATTAACTTGCATATTTCATTTTAATGCCATGTTTTATTCCTCCTTTTTGCAGTTACACCCATTCATCATTGACAAAAGTGTGTTCATATACATATTTTCTGTATGAATGATTGTACTCTGCCCATTTCTTTGAATAGTATTTTACACATTACCTCAACACTTATCTGGACAGTTAAGTGTGCTGTTTGTAATGTTTTATGTAGGAGTGCCGTCGGCAGATGCTCCATTTTGATCCATGAACTCCTGAACCAAGATGGGTTTTTGTTGGCTTAAAAAAAACTTTCCCAAAAGAAGATCAGCGTTCTGTGATGACTGCAATAGATGGAAATGTTTTACTGCTCATTTTCACTCATTTGTTGCCATCAATAAAATTGCTTTAAATTGTATATGTTCATATTTTCAGCTGCTCTGTGTGGTTTGTTTTAATAAGAGCCCTATAATAGTTCATTTTATATAATTATTTCTTTGGTAGAAAGTTGTTCCAGTAGAAATTGTTCACACTGAGCTCTGTGGACTATCTGGACTAACAAGGATTGTTTTCATGAAAGACACATTACTGGTTTTTTTTTATTTTTATGTTTATGTAATTTTTCAGTACAGCAAGTAACTTTAAGATCACGGTACCCATAACACAGCGCTGATGTGTAAGAAGGCCAAAAACATGAACTATAGAGGTGACTGTGCTGCACAGTTCAAGCATTTAACAACAAAAGCTGCAAATTCTGCAATCAAATGACATTTAATGGTTTGCAACAGAAAGAAAAGACCATGTACCTACAGTACATGACAGATGCCAGGAGTTGGATGAGAAAACCTTTCTTTGTCATGTGAGCATGTTTGAAGTCTATTCTACAGTTTGAACCTTGGATATACAGTAAATATTTCACCATAAACTTTTCAAAGTGACTCACACTTTCGTCAACCACCTTGTACAAAAGGTCGGACACATAGAAACTAATGCTGAAGGCTAATATTTCCCCCTTGGGAGAACAAAGTACAGGTAAGATGGAAGTGAATGCTGGACTTTGTAGTTCACCAGAAGCTTGACTACAATGTGATTTTATTGTTGGATTTGTAAGTAGGAAATTGTTTGCTAACACAATGGCTGTAACATCTCCAAACCCAAGTGCTAGGACTGTGTGTCTGTGGCTGGTTTTAGAAGTGTCTGCTCCCAAACATGAATTAATGCATGTTTAACAGCACGTTATGCAAGTAATGTTTTGTTTAAATTCTACATACACATACTTGAAACACATACTAAGAATTAAAGTGTGAGCTTGTATCAATTATTTACAGTAAATCAAAACTTGTTGGTAGTCGGTGTTACAGTCTGACTGCATTTATTATTTCCTGTTTTATATTTGTGAGATCTGCGTTCACTGTGCCCACTTTTTCTGTCGAACGTTTAGGTGCTGGTGGTTTATCTTCACATCTAATGGGAGATAAAGGGCAGTTTAAGTTGTACGTAGCCACAAGCCCAAGAAAATTAATTTGGCCAGATTTACAATTATCCGTAGTTACATCTAAATATATGACATTTTAGTTGTGTTGCTGATAGCCTTAAAAGTGGCTTTTAAATAAAAATGTCTTTTCTATTGAAAGCCAAATGGGTCGTAATTCATCTGTTTTTCCTTGCCGGTCTGTTTTGCACCTGTTTTAACATCGCCAGGCTGCACATGTGTCAGCAGAGGACATTCCAGTCCAGTTTTCAGTAACACTAATTTGTACTAAAACAACAGTGCCTGTGAAAAGAGATGACACTGGAGGTAAGTGAGATTTGTTTTGCTTGATTGTTTTATTGTTGGGGGATCTGGGGCAATTAATGGCTCTTAAACCATTCACTAATAAAAGACATGGTATAACTTGTCACAGAATTTGTACAGTACATGCCTCTTTCATTTTTTAGGTCTTAGTAGGTTGTTTGTTGCAACTTTCTTATGTCAAATTACCAAAATCTGTGACTTTATAAAGTGATAACTAAGAAACACCTGAAAGAACCTGACCTTTTTGTGACAGCTGTGGCTGAACGGTTAAGTCCTCGGGCCTCTGCAGCCTCACATGTTCTCCTGCTGGCCTGGGATTCCTGCCAGAACCTTGTCCCCATGTTTCACCCTCTGCTTTCCAACTGTCTGAATGAAGTAGGAGGGTGAGTACACTACCCAAAGAAAACACTTTCAGCTGCCTCATACACAGACTCGCAATGCACAACTAACCATAACTTTGTCAATGGAACTACTGAGCGTGTTAAAACGTCACTAAGCAATGTTTTCCCATTAAAAAAATAAAAAGTCAAATGCACGCAGCTCACATCAGTTATATCTTTGAATGCATGTCAGTTCAGGCCCTCAGTGGCATCAGCACACCAAGTTGGGTATCACAAACAGGAATGTAAATCATCAACACTAAGGGGTTAGATCTGACCAAAAAAAAAAAAAAAAAACTGGAAACGCGAATTTAGGGGTGGAAGAGCCAAAGATCTGTCACAGCAAGGCTCCAGAGAGCAGCCACATTATAAAGAGTTGGTCCACCAGAAACATACAGTGGAAAGCCTTTAATAACAACTGCAGTGCTAAATGTATTTTTAGATGTAACTGTTTCTTTGAATGTCATCTGAAGACTCTGTCATCCAGCCTGGGTCCTGCTAAGGCATTTTGATGAATTTAAATTTCTTTTAAAAAAAATCTATCAAGTTTTCCACCTCTATAACCCATCCATTTTCCTCCGCTAATCCGGAACCAGATCGCGGGGGCAGCGCCCTGACTTCCCTCTCCAGACACTTTAACACTATAACATTTGAGTCATTTAATTAGTTTAATGACATGATGGAATTTGTCATTTCAGGAGATAGTTATTTGATACACAGAGGCACTATGGAGAGATTAAGACATGCTCATCTTAAAAACTAAATAAATAAATGTGGGGAAAACAAGGAAATAGAAGTTTTTCTTCATGACTTTTCCATTAGCACATGCTATACACCACATAATCTCTAAGAACATGTAGGTAGATCTGAATTTTGTTACTTCTTTATCCTGAGGAAACCCAGTTACTGTATATGTAACAGTGAAAGAAGCTGGTAGTACATGTAGGTAGGGAGAAAGTACAGTAATTTACATGGTTGCTAATAAACCTCCCCAGTTTTATCAGCCTCTGACTGCGTTTGATGTAGCAGAGGATTAACACTGTTGTCTAACAGAAGAGAGGATTGGGTTGAGGTCTGTTCTGACACCATCTGTCACTCTGGCACAGCATTAGGCAGCGGCTTGGGAGCTTTTTCTTTTCTTTCCCTGTGCACGCTCTGTCTTGCTTTCACAGATCTGAAAGGATTCCAAAATGGTGACTGTATGAAAATAGCTCTCATCTGTGGTTGTACTCTTGACAGGAGTAGGTGAAGAGGAGATATCTGATGATTGCTGAATCAACAACACTGAGCGGGTCTTCTTAGATGATGAACTTTTATTTTGTTAAAACATTCTCAATTTTCTTTTCAATATTTTCATTATTGTTGAAATAATGTTACATACAGAAGGCACTTACAAAACAAGTTAAATTACAGATGCTGTTATTAAAACATTAAATTACTGATTAAAAAACATGACATTATCATAAAGACAAGAAATGACAGCACCATTGGCAACTTTTGAACAGTACATCTCAAATTAGCATGGTTTGAATCTACAGTGCATTAGAAACAATACTTATTTGTTATCAATATAATAATGCCCGAGCTATGTTTAAGTTAATGATCAAGATAAAAAGCTGAAAACTCAAGGTTTTTTTTTTTGTTTGTTTTTTTGTCACTAGTTTGAGGTTCTATTTATTTTACATATTAGGCTTTGTGGATTCGTGCAAGTCATGGTACATCTCTATCAAACGAGTGGCTTCTTTCTGTCCCGATAACAAAGCACCATGGGCAGTGGAATAGTATTTTCGGTGGGTGGCCTCTCCAGCAAACAGGACCTGCAGAGGCTGAGGAGGAGGAGGAGGAGGGGGAGAGAAGTAAAATGAGCAGAGAGGGAGGGAGAGAAGAATTTAGTCAAGAAACCCAGGTTCAAAACAGGACAGTTCAATGTCAACCTGACATTTCTGGCCTTTGGTGCAGCATTATTTTCATCACTGTGTCCTTTATTAGCGCTCTGCATGTTGGTGGCTACAGTCATTTTCCTGAGGGCTTAAAATTTACAGTAAGTATGACAGGGTTGAAGGACGTCCAGCAGAGGGGTCATGTTGTTCCTTCAGCAGTGTCAAGTGCGCATACAGACCCCATTCACCCTCCACCCTCCACCCCCAAGCGCCCGCCTTTTCCCCTTCACCCAGAATGCATCAGGTTTCATGGTCTATACTGCTGGCCAGGAATCAGCCACCCCTCCCCACCAACACCACCTGTGTTTGGCTGCATGTGCTGGGATGTGAGACGGTAGTGATGACACAATCACGATCCAGCTGTAGTTGATGGAAAGTAACTAAGTAAATGTATTACATTTATTCAAGTAACTGTATTTGAGGTACTTTTACATGAGTATCTTTATTTTATCCCCGTTTATAATTCTACTCCAATACATTTCAGAAGGTTGGACTTTTTACTCCACTGACAGACCCAGTTACTAATTACTTTGCAGAATATAATTACAAAACATCTCCCGTTAAAGCTACCGTATGTAACTTTAAGGTAGCGCTAGCATGAAACTCCTAATCAATCCACTCTGCTCCAGCGCTCCCTCTCATACAATAATAGGAACACCCAACAATATAATGCAGTACAAAAGAACACCACAAACTCCGGCCTCACGGCTCAAAGATAAGTCAGCTTCTTTCTGGCAGCCGAACCTTAAAAGCTACATAAGAAATTATTTGCATTATATTGTACGGGTGTTTTAATTACTGTGTCCATCCCCTGTGTTGAGGCTATCTCACCGGTGCCTTGGTGCTTTTGGCGTAAGGCAGTGGCATGGCCAGCATCTCAAAGTCCCCACCACTGGAGCCCACCCTGGTGAAGGAGTAGGAGCCTTGGATGTAGGGGTTACTGCCCCACGAGGAGCGCAGGATACGCCGGGGCTTTGGAATGTCAGGGTTCCCTGTGGACGGACAAACACAGGAGAGGCAGACAGGGAGTCAGTGCACATAGTATACGGGAAAACCTAATGACAGTGATGTCTGAAAAATCCAGTGCACGACAGAAACAAACTAGTTCAAACTAAGAATGTGGTGGCTGTAAGTTGAGGCCTTGTGCTGGGACGTCCCATCAGCCCACATTGATACATTCTAATTGAGGATATGTCGGATAAGAAGTTGCAAACGACACTGCCATTCTCTGCCCTTGGTCTGTTTTGGATGTGGAAGAAGAAAGGAGGCTGTGGAGGTGAAAAATAAGGAGAAACCGCACAAAATAGTTAAAATCATGGATACTACAGTGACAGTCTCAAGGGGCTACCTAAACTGTTTTCATCTCCTCTAATGATTTGTTATTCTGAACAGCCAATCAGAGTGGTCTCGCTTGCCGACGAGGCCCGCTGCCAATTCAACATACTGAATTAGCTGAAAAGTCACAGACAGGGTCCGACTAGTGCCGTCGGCTTGGTGCATCACTGCACTACAGGTTAAAACTTGATTTTAAGGTTAAAGTTAGAAGTAGGCTTATGTTGGGGTTAGGCATTTAGTTGTGATGGTTACAGTTGGGGAATGCATTATGTCAGCAAGTGTTCTCAAAACTATAGAAAGGCCAAAGTCTCTAATTTAAAGTCTGCTTTTATAGGTCCACTGACCTTATCAGGTTTCACTGACCTTATCACGGTTTATCAGCTCGCACTTTGACCCATTTCTGAGGAAATCACATTACCAAAGCATCACTTTGCTCCCTGCACTAATCTAGTGCCTAATAATTCAACCTATAATCGTGTGATGAAACGTTTTACATTTTATGTTGCTGTCATCTTGAATTCTTTTAAGATTCTCTATTGCACAAGAAATAATTTTTTAAACTAGCATTCATGCATTTGTGCGTGTTACTGTAACAAGACAATGGCGTATCGATCAAATGTCTGTTAAGCTAAAAGCCTCTTCACCTTTTCTGACACACGATCGATCCTTCTGTTCGGTCCTTTGCTTTTGTGGTGGTGACAGCAGAGCGGTTAGCTGAGACTCACCCAACACAAAAACGGACACCTGAGTCATTCAACTGTATTCAGCCTTTTTTTTAACCACGATAAAAGCGACGCGCATCACAGCTGAAGCTTATGTCATTTCCTTTATATGTAACACAATGCGCCAACCAGAGTCATAGTTCATATGAGTCACTGTGCTGACAGACTCACCCTACATTACCAAAGCTAGTGTGTTAGTTTTGGATTACTGATTATTTACTGAAAGAATTACTGAAAACCTAACTAGAATGGAAGATGGAGGAAGATGAGCTGTGTAATTTCTGTCAGAATTACAAAAGTACTTTTTAAACAATATTTCCTCATTTGGCTCAATAATCAAATAAAACAGTCAGAGGACTTGAGTATTTTAAAAAGGGAATGAATTAATGTGTGTGTATCAAGCTAGAAAACCCACAAACGCTCTTGCAGTGTAAACAGGATGCATGATGGTTACATGTGCCCACAGTGTACAACAGTTTCCCCGATTGTGTCTCAACCTGTAAAACGCCTCAGCAGCTCAGTGCAGGTCTCGGCCACAGTTTCATCATCGCAGCGCTCCATGTACAACGCCTCCTGCCCGCAGATCCAGCCACTCAGCATATAACCATAGCGCTCCGGCGGGTAGAGGATATCAAAGCTGCAGATTTTCTTGTACCACAGCTCCTCTGGGTAGACCAGTTGTTCCAGCTGAGCCTCATCCTCCCACACAAACTGGATGCTGTTGCACTCAGGGCTCCAGAAGGCCTCTTCAAACTCTAAGAATATCTTATCGGTGGTGCTGATGCCTAGTTTCTCGATGGCGAGCACCTTGTCCTCAGGCAGAGAAGGGGAAAACATGGCTTCGTGGTTCTGCTTCAGCACGCCCAGAGAAGCTGTCACAATGACGTGGTCGGCCGTGATCCACTCCTCATCTTCGCACTCCACATAAATGGGGGGACCCAGGATCAGAGGGTCCTGGTGAGATTGGCCACCGTGGCTGTTTTCATTGTGGTTACTGTCATGCCTGATGTCACTGCTTTTGGCGATGACCTCCTGATGCTGGGCTGAGTAGTTCCAGTGGATACAGCGAACAGGTTTGCTAAGGCAGATGGTGCTGGAGGGCAGGTCCTGGGACAGGAGCTCCACGATCTTCATAAAGCCTTCAGGAATGACATAATGTGCCCCAGGGATCTCTGTCCACTCGCCAAACTCACTCAGAGACACCTCATCCATGCTGGGAGAGCTGCTTTCACAACTCTCCACCTGAAACCACATCAACACAGATGATCAGGTCACATACCTAATATCTGCAGCCACATTGCTGCTTCATGAACTATAAACAAATCTCCAATTTGCTGTTATACTCGGAGACAACATCCGTGGCATTTTACACACTTTCCACCCATTAAATCCATACTTTACTGTAGGTCCTGCACTGTACCCTGTCACTCATGTATTCTACAGCTATGTTTCTGAACAAACTGGCATGACTGGTTTAAAGTAGGGATGCACCAATTTATCAACTGTACATCGGTATCAGTCATTATTAGCCCTGTTAACTGCCATCAGCCTATCAGCAAATAAGTTGATCATTCACCGATGGCAGTGGCCAGTGTTTATCTGAAATGTGATAAAAGCTATGATGGATATTGGCCTGACTAGTTTTTATTACATGGCACACATTCTGCAGCTAGTAGTCGACGATGGCTACGTATGTACTGAAGAATTCTTCTCATAAGTGGTGTTATAGCAGGCTAAAAAGGCTTTTGATAGTTATTTTTCAGAAGAAGAAACGTGCCATTTAGGTTATAACAAGGTTATAATAGCCTATTAAAGGTTGTTTCACAAACTTGTATGATTGAATCTGTGCTCATTCAAAGGTAGCGTGATACAGGGCTGAAAGACTAAAATGTAAATATATATATATATATCAAAAGGAAGAATACATAACACGAACAAAAAACATTGATATTGGCACCAGCTTTTGGCCACATTATTATTTTAAACATTACTGTTGGTATCGGCCCAGAATTTTACTATTGGTGCATCTCTAGTATAAAGCATGCTGGGAACACATATGTTTTATTTAGAGGACACAGGGGTGTTATATAAAAGTAAAAATATGCTACCGCGTCTGCCCCTTTAGCTAATAAGCAACACTGTGGCTATTACCTGGTGACTAATGCCCACCATCTCTTCTGTGCTGCATTTAACAGCACACCCTTTTTCCTATGTGCTTGTGTGGGTGGAATAGTATTCAAAGAACAGAAATATATTAAATGGCAAAATTACAGCGCATCAGGTTTCCTTTAAGATGTTTTCTTAGGTTATAATGATTATAAGGAGCGACAGTTCTCGCCCTCAGGTGCTCTTGTGACATCTTCCAGACAGAAAAGACAGAAAAATATCACCTCTAATATAGAAAGGCAAAACTCTCATACTATTCCTACAAGTTGTTATCAAGCAAACATGCCAAATCTTGGCTGGTTACAGCTTCTCAAATGTGCTTGCGTGCTGCTTTTCTCTCTTGGATGTCAGTGAAAATTTGACTTTGTTTTGGACTGTTTGTGGAACAAAATAAGTTATGTGGACATATCGCTGTGGGTTCTGGGAATTTGTACCGTTTCAGAGAGCTGTGTTTAAAATAGCAAAAGCCCAGGCCTGAATAGTTGTCAGTGGATATCTACATGGAGTACATTTTAGGAAGAAGTAAATAAAAGCTCATAATTACTATGCAATTAGTAAACCGGTCTTTTTGTAATTTATAGCTAATTATCGTCTAAGTCTAATTAGCCCTTGTTATCAGGCAAATAGATTAGATTTGTAGGTTTGTAAACTGTTTCCACATCATTTCTACATTTCTGGCTTGACTCATGAATGCATTTCACTGACGTTTATCTGAGAGCTTCAGTGAAACATTGGCATTAAACCAGTCCTTAAGGCAAAAGCACCTCCCCGTTCACAAATGTACTGTGTCTGGAAAGGAAAACAAAAGCGGAAACAAAAATAGAAGCCCAGGAGGCGATACTGTAGGAACTGTGTCACACATTGAAAGGCAGACATGGAAATGGAGAACATGTGCACACACACCTTGAGGTACTGTTGAAGCATGGACAGTTTGAGCTTCTTGGTGCTTTCAGAATCATCAGGATCCAACATGATCTTCTTGCGCATCACGTCTCGTGTAAAGACGCCAACGCTGTTCTGGCTCTCCGCGCAAACTGGCTTTCCATTCTGGAAAAACTCCTGAGTCAGCTCGTACACCTAAAGGAGGGTGAAAGGCAAGAGGCCGAGGGTAGTCAGGAAGAAGAATGAGGAAGGATGTAAAGAAAGTAGAGGATGGTGCAACAGGAAGCAAAGAACCAGTTCAGTTCAGTTCAGGGCTGAACTGATCAGTACTCGACTGTGTCAGATGGTAAACAGTCACTTCTAGCATGATGGAGAACCACCATCGTGTAGCGCATTAAAAGTAAATGCTGCCAGCCAGTAGCTGCTAGCAAATTACTAGAAAAATAAATACTGGTACAAAGAAGCTAAAGCCCTGATAAAGCAAGTAAGGAGAACGTGTAAGAGCTGCAGGGTGCTCGAGACCGTAGCAGTTATGGTTGTGAAGCTCATGTTATGGAAAATTCTGCCCTCTTCTCACTTAACAAGAAAACAAAAGCAAAACAGTTTAGAGCCCAGAGCATAATGAGTCATATGGTGGTGTGATCATCATCAAGCTGAAAGGGAGACAAAGGGCGTATGATCTTCATCACACTACATCAGGGATTTTCAACCAGTGGTCCACAGCCCTCTGGTGCTCCACAAGGGCACTGCAGGTGGTCCCTGACTATGCAATCAATAATGTAGTTTTACTTTTTTGGGGGGGATTTTTAAAATGCATTTCCATGTATTAGTTATTGTTTGTGACTAATCAAATAAATTAATGTAAATATATAAAATTTTAAAAAGCCAAGGTGACTTTCAGGATTAAAATTGTGCCTATCCGGTCTATCCACCCCACAACAACAGTCCTCAGTTTACTTTTTAGCCAGAATGGTGGTCCCTGGGTCAAAGTTAACTGAAAAACCCTGCTCTACACTATGTCAGTCAGGGCTGAGTTACATCCTGGAGATGGCAGCTTGAAGACTTTCCATGTCAAAACTGTTTTATTTATGTATGCTAAAGCAGCTAATTTGTCTGAGTGAATGCATATAGTATATTCTGTTCTGAGGAACTGAAGCTGCTACTGTCTCTCTAAAGGTATTCAGATTTAAGGGTGTTAGATCCCATTAAAAAGATTATCACAGAGAGACAGGAAGGTGTGGTGGATTGTTTTGAACCACACAGAAAACCCCGCTGTACAAGGCTTAACAAAAACAAAATGTCTTCTGATAGTTCTATACCGTCAAACTGCAAGTATTTTTCCAGACCTGGCTTACTTAAACAGTAACAGACATGTTCTAAGGGGCCCGTTACAAAACTAGGAGCAAAGAATTAGGCTAACCAAAATGGTCATTCCTTGTTAAATAAGTATCCTTTGGTGGTCATCTCACTGGACCACCTCCAGGCTGAAGTTATGTTTAATAGCACTTGTAGATATAAGCAGAGATTGGGTGCAGACTCTGAGGGAACATAACCACTGGTTTTGTTTCCACTTGAGTAGCTTCAAAGTTGGAAACATAATCTTCTCCCGCATTGTCTGACAGTATCATATACAGTCTATTCTGTATCAGTTCTTTGTTGATGTTGGCAAGCATTCAAACTAGAGACGCCAATGAACAACAAATGAACGTCTGGCTGCACAGTTCATAATGACTGACCCACCAGTTAAAGAGTTACCACTGACTTTATATAATCTGGTTATTGTGTCTACGTTATGCGACATCATTTAACCCAAATATTTGGGTGCCCTTGTCCTTGCAAGCGAGTGTGAATTCATGTGTGTCCCCTCACCTCGTTGTACAGGTCACTGAACTCCTCCACCAGGTCCTTGGGGATCCTCTTCCCAACATTGGTCTGGTAGTGAGCCACACCATTCTTGGTGTACAGGCTGATGCGTCCCACGCTCCTCTCCCCGTCTGTGGTGTGCTCCAGCAGCCTGTTGTCCTCTGCTATGTGGTACACTGGGTTCCCATTGGCACCATGGATCCAGGTGGCTCCAAGCTCCAAAGTTGCTTTTCCTACAAAACAGAAATCAGTGTGAGTTAAAACTCAGCATCTCCTGCATGGGTCTGATGAAACTCTATACTCTGCTTTGGTATGAGGGTTAGACATTTATATAGTCTAAGAAGGAGGTCAACTCAATTACTGAAGCCCACTGGAATACCATTCATTATTTACCTGTACCTGATGGCATCACACATGAGTATACAGGAGGTATATAACATTCTCTTATATAATAAAAACAGGCCAATGCAAAGACAAAAATGACTAAATGCTTCTTTAATTACATAATGTTTAAGCACATAAACAAGCATTTAAACAGACTTCTCTGTGTGCCTAACATACAGGTTTACATGTAACTGTGCAGAATGACCTCTTACATGACCTCTTGTATGTGTATAGAATATGACAGCCATGAGCAGATGCTGTTCCCTGTCTGTACTCGCCAGTTGGAGAAATATGATTGAAAACAGCAGCAGGCACATATCTCTGGCACAGAACCTGCACATCACTCAACTTTGTGGGGAAAATCTACCAGCATCACTCAAGCAGATCAAGTAAAAAAAGCATCATTATTTCTCCTGGAACCAGACACACATCCAGCAAGTGTATTAAGTCAATTGTTTAGAAATCAGATTGCACGAGTGAATGACTGACTGTTCCAAGCAAGTGGAAAGTTAATGTGACAGATGTACCGTAATAGAGGTCTACTAGAGATTAGATAATAGTGCCTCTAGGTTGATAACTCCACCTTACATCAGAAGATTCTTTGTTCATATATCTGGAGTCAAACAGTGCTTTGTATGGATTTCACTCAACACACTGTAAAACTTTTTTTTTTCCAAGTGTACATTTTGCTGGTATGGTGCAGAATTTGAGTTAAACATTTTTCTGGTGAAACAATCAGTTATTCTGTGAGTGGAACTATTACTGCACAGTTCACTTATTGATACCACAAACCCTGAGCAATAGCAAGAGTTAGATTGGAAGACAAATGCAACTCTTACATCTCTTTGTTTAAAAAGGCTACAGCCAGCACAGTTAATTCCGCTTAACATATAAGCTGGAAAACAGCCTTAAAACACACTGATTAATTAACTAATTACATTAATAATGTTATATCTTGTTTGCCCGTACAAAATAAGTGTAAAGAACATATTGGGGTTCTACAGGACTAATGAATTACCAATATGTCAAGCTATTTAAGTTATAACTGTGTGTTGGTTTTACCACTTTGTTGTTGCTTCTATATCAGGGTTTGCTTGATGAGTTTTAGATATCCGAGCTAAAATAACTGCTTTAGAAATTCAAATACAGGTTAGAGAAAGAGGCAAAGCAATAATAACCCATGAAAGTGATGTATGTTTAAATTTTACTAAATGAGAAATACACTGTAAAAATAAATCTTGTACTCTGGTTTATACTAGAGATGCACTGATCCATCGGCGGAGATCGGAAATGAACAGAGGAGCCTGCAGAAACACCTTGGAGAAGAAGAAACTCCATCCGAATCTCAGACGAATAGTACACAGTGAGGGAATTACTGGTTACACAAGGGATGCATATATATGTAGAGTGTATCCAACCTGTGGTACAACACAGCAGATACACACTACACACACCAAGAAGAACTGTGTGTGCTCCGTAGGACTGATGTAACAGACATTCTCCTGTTTCCGTGACCTGTTCCACCTGTTTATATCTGAAGAAGTACAAATATTGTACTTCATTTTTAGTTGGAGGTTTGTTAGAAAGAAATGTAAAACTATTACGTTTTATTTTTATTAGTTTCATTACTTAACTTACAAAAATGTTTGCCCATGTTGTCAACTACAGTTCTTAGAAATGAAATCGCAATCAGCCAAAGAATTTGCAATCAGCACATCTCTAGTGTAGGATTCTAGAAGTGACCGTGTTTAGATCCTGTTTCTAAATATGTTTACCATAAACTTTAAGAACACATCCTCTTACCGTGCTTAATGCTGTGAACTCGCCCGCCGATGTGGTCTGATGCCTCTAGGACAGTGACATCTGTGAAACCGTTTTTCAGTAGGACCTTAGTTGCAGCAAGGCCAGCCAAGCCAGCGCCAATCACTACTATTCGAGGCTGCCGATGAGTGCGTAGGCCGCTACTAAGAGGATCATCAGTGCTGTCTGAGGAAATGTCACAACTTTGCATGCCGTCCAAGCTCTTCTTTGATGGAGTCTGAGATTAAATTACAGAAGTAACAAGTTAGAAAAGGCACATTCAATGCCGAGTCAGCAGAAAACAGAAACTAATACAGTAGAAGCTAACACTACAAGAACAACAACAACAAAAACATGGACAAATTAACCAAAACTGTTTTCAGTTTACCCAAAATGTTTCAAATTAACTGATCTTTTAAAGCTTTGGGCCCACATTATTATTATTTGGCCTCTCTGGAGCTCTGATGCCTCATACCGTTTATTAAGTCCTAGCTGCACAGACCCCTTTTATAACCAATAAGGGCTGTTTATTGGCATTCCCCCTAATTTGAGCCACATGTACAGCTGTGTTTATAACTGTGATTAATTTAATTTAGTCTTTTTCCATGACATGTTGACATTATTCCGTCTACCAGCTGTGTATTCTGTTGTACAATAGAATTGAGCGCAAGGCCAAATTAAAGGTCCTGATACTACCCTGTTATTTCTATCTTAGAACAGACCATGCACACGCACAAAAGAAAAAGATTTCTTATTGCAGCCTTTCTAATTATACTGAACTTGCTCAGCTACAGAACGAAGAGTACACAAACCACCTTGTTTTTCCAGTACAAAACGTTACTTGCTCTGAATGTATGGACAGCTGTGTGTAAGAATACCACAGTGGGAGTCTATTCAGAAGACGTTCCTGTTAACCCAGCAGAGACAGCTACAAAGAAGCCACATTAAGTGGCAGTTTGTCCATGGAAGATAGAGCTGGTATTGAATAGCTTTTTATATAAACTCATTTCCCTTTCCTGAGCGATAATATCGACTAATCTGGGGTAGGACAGCTGTGGTATCCTGCTGTTACATGATATACAAACATACTATACATAAACATTGTCCCTGCTTTGTTACTACAACAAGGCTGGATACAGGGCGGTACATATGGTGCTCTGTAGAAAGTACACACTTCAAGTTGAAGTCACACAGCGGAAAGAATTCAGTGGATCTAGTTATCAAACCAGGTGGCATGGTGAGGCAGTGGTCTGAGATGCTGCCATACTGTTGACATTGTGGGAACTATCAGCTTAATATTTCTGGGGGTGCTGGGCCACTGTGAGTAAAGTTACTGATCAGCAGGCCCAGACGGGGTCTGCGCCCGCACAGTTCCGACGCCGCCTCTGCTGATTTTTTGCGGATTTTTGAAAACAAAGTAGAAACTCAGAATGTAAGCACGTTTGCCCCCACCTGCATGTGAGCAACAGTTGTGTGATGTTGTGAATGGTTTTTTTTTGTCATTTTCCAAGCCAAGGATCTGACATCCACCTCTATTTCACACCTTTTTCATTCCTTACAGAACGATCTACGACACTTCTCATGTCAACTTTCTAGAGCCGTTCCCCTCAGTAGCCCTAACCCTACATTTTTATCATTCATTGAATTTTACTCTACTTAATACTACTACTATATTTTCATCAAAGTGTTTTATCCATAAACAGCCCATCAGTTGTATGATCACTATATATCACTGTGATATAAAATGGCACATAAGCTTCCTGGACAGTAAATCAGGCATCCTGCATGCCCAAAAATGAGAAAAATGCATCTGTGCCCTTCATAAAAACACACTGTGTGAAAGTGTTGCTGGAGTATCGCCCTCTTCAAACTATTTCCTTTCTCCTTGCACCTTGGAAGTAGACAGTGTGCCAGAAATACCCACTGTACTTCCAGGAAGAGGGGGACCAGGCTGTTCCGGGCTCTTATTGTTCCTTAGAAAAGTTAAATGAGGTCAGAAAATTGTCACTTTACTGTAGTGCAGGAAACATTTTTGCATCCCTCCTTGAGAAAACATCATAGCTATAAAGATTCAGTGTCCAGTACAAAATATAGCAACAATGATCCTGAGTGAATAACAAATACCATTCATAGACAGCGTTTGATCACTTGACACTCAGGCCTCGCTGACAGATTGTGCATCCCACTCTGGTTGTTTCTAATTCTGCGGCTGGTTAATATACTCGCCACATGCCACCACCCCACACGCTACACCAGCACCACAGATTATTATGTGGGCTGGCCTTGGGAGGCTAGGCCACTACCACTGACCTAGAAATGGCAATCTACGGTACACTGCGCCTGCTGGTAGCCTTTTCAAAAGCAGGGTCAGCTTTGAGCAGGAGTATCTTAAATGACTGTGTGTGAGCGCTTCACTCTCCTTTAAGTTTGAACGGCTATTTCCAGCTGTGATCAAACACATCTGCATTTAGTTTGTCAGTCTCGTGTGATTATTAGAATGATAAGAAACACCTATACTTCTCTAAATCAAAAGGTGGGGTGGGGGGGGCTGTGCTGTTGTAAACCACACTAGATGTTCCCCTGATGCAGATAAAGAGGAAAGCAGTGTCCTGGGAGACTACTGTAGTACAGCCACATACACATGCAAATTACAGAAGTGTGGCCGTGATGACGGGTCAGTTATCACCACTGAGAGAGTGACAAGACAAAAGACAATGAAACAAAGGTAAATAAAGAAAACACATTAAAGAATAAGCCGTTGTAATCTGGAATGTTAAACCTTGAAATATAACAATATACAGTTTCTAATAAGCTGCCAGGTCAGTTAAAAAATGAGGTTTAAAAACTTCTGATTTTACAGCTATAGGAAAAAAAAAAATCTGAATGGCATCAGATAAAGGGGAAGACAATGAGAGCCAGTCTGATCCATCTGTCAGCCTTAATGCTGACTGGTTACTGCCACGTATAAGATGTGATGCCACAGTGGCAGAGGTTTGACACAAAGCAAACAACTTCACTCAGTGGCTGATTGGGAAAGACGACACGTGGTGATACCACAACAAACCTTAAACACGTTTTAAAGCGGACAAATAAAAAGGAAAAGGGGGGTAAGTCCACTTTGTTCCGGGCAGAACACTTTGTCCAGCTGGATACGCGCAGCGACCCACAACGCGCGTCCCTAACATCTGATCTGGTTGATCGGCTTGTGTGGTTACATGGGCTGTTTTCGTGTAGCGTTTTCCTGCCTTGATCAACACAGTCAACTGGGTGACATTTACTATAAGGTCTAGCGGGTACGGCCGCCAGCACTGCTGGCAACTACAGCAAATAATCTGCTACCACCGTTTTCTGATACACCCTGTTCTTTTAGTGAAATCACAGCACTAGTAATCAGCGAACAACTGTTCCGTTAAATATGGTTTCACTAGAGCTCACCTGACTCTTGGTCTTCTGCTTTTAAACCTCGGAGCGCTCCGCTTTCCTTTGTGCCGTTTTCCCCACAGACCGGCTCCGCTTTGTATTTATGCCTGGAAACCAGAAGCAGCCAGTTTTTCCGTGGCCGCTGCCTCCTCATGTATTATATGTTGGGAGCGGTGACGACAAAGACCAGCCCTCTACTGAGTAATGAGAAGTAAGCCTGCTGCGTAATACACGCACACAGATACACATCCTTGTTTTGTTCACTTGTGGGCACTTTGCATTGACGTCATTCATTTACTGGAGACCACAACCCTAACCGTGACCCCTATCCGAATCCTCTTTTTAACTCTAATTGTAACCTTTCCCTGACCTTATCCTAACCTCAGATCAAGTCATCACCCTAAGATTCAGTGATTTACTTTGTGGGAACCCAGAAGACTAGAGTTCCAATAGTGTGAGTGAGGTCCCTGGTTTTGGGCACCCAGATGCATAAAAAAGGTAAAACTCACATGCCATTGTCTCTCTGTAGTTGTAAGGACATAATACATTTCCTAGCCCCTTACCCTAGCCTTTGGCCATCTACTCCAACCCGTGCAGTCATCAGACCAAGCAGGGTAGGCCATTGAGACAGACTTCCTTCAAACTTCCTTTGACATTGTGACAGCTAAATGACAAAATGTCCTCATAATGATGGCATTGACAAAGATTTGTCCATGCAATATAATAAAGGCACTTGCACACACATACATCCTGTATACGGCATGTAAAAAGAATGGAAAAATATTTAAATCAAAGAAGAACTGTATATGTAAACATATACACTGGCCTAAATAAAGAGGCAGATGCTGTAACAACAGAGAAGTAACATCATAACAGTAACGTTCTCGTGTGGGTTAAAACACCTGTGTTTGTACTGAATGTCTGCTAGACCTTGTACTGAGGTCTAGACTGGTGAAAAGTCATAACTGTGGTCGTGGTATCACTTTCAAAACGGCCTAGAATAGCGAAATGCACCTGCAGTCAAATTTTCTTTAAGACTGACGAGGCTGACATTAAAACAATTAATAAACAACAATATGAATTCACTTTTTAAGCAATTTTCATACTACTCATGTCTTAAAATATAAGCTACCAAAAGTTGTGCATATATTCTAAAAACATTTTAAGAAAAAACTACTTAAAATATATTTGGCAAATGTAAAACAATGTCCTGACAGCACTTTTAAATATATAAGTGCATACAAGTATGTGAAACTGCATTTATAGTACATATTTTATATTTATTAGTTTATTGGGTCTGATGAGAGGGAAAATAAAAATGAAATATCAGGGAAAGCAGAATAAATGCATGAAGGAAAAATATTTATGGAAGAAAGACAGGAAGAGAGCAAATGGACAAAGAGCAGCCTACTGTCTAAAGATGTATTAGTCAGTCTAGACACTTATTAAGTAAGATTTGAACTGATCCTCTAATCATTTGTTTCAAATATTTATGCTTTTAATTCAGTTAAACTGCAGTTTACTCTCCGTTTCCATCTAAGTATTGAACAATTAGTGTTCTTGATAACTGAATACTAGGAATTAGCTAAACGAATGTAAGAATACAATCTGGATTAAATGCAGATATCTGAATAAATATTTTGCATAGTTTTCTTAGATGCGCAATGAGTTTTAATGCTAAATTCACCATTGAATGTGTCCCACTCAGATAAGAAATTACACTTCTGCAGAACAGGGTAATTCTAAACAGCATTTCTCAACATCCCCTGAAAATCTTGTTTTTGCTGACCTCTGGTGGTTTCACCTCTCACCTTGCTGTAATGATGTGCCCACAGCCAATCAAAAGCCTTGAAACTTTGAAAGGTGTTAAGTCACTCTTTGATAATATCTAAAGGTTAGATTTCATATATGAAAATAAATGTTATGCAGTTCAGTTATTAAGAATTATTACTGTAGTTGTGATTACCTGTCATGAAAGAAGTATATAAGTGATGAAAGAAGTTTTACTTAAGTAAATATAGCAATATCTGAATATAAAACCACTCCACTATTAGTAAAAGTCCTGCATTCACATCATTAACCATGTAGAAGTACAAAATACAATTAGCAAGATGTACTTAATTCATCAAATGTAAAAGTGCTCACTAGCAAAGAAAAGAAACTGGTTTGTTATTACATTTGTGTAAGCAGCATTTTAATGTGGCAGCTGGTTAAGGTTGATCTAATTTTAATTAATTTACATGTCGTTGGGTTGTTTCATGTATAACAAGGGATAATATTTTATAAGATGATTATATTTATATGTTTTGGGTGTAAAATGATCAAAGTAAACAGTGACTATAGTCATAAAATGAATGCTCTGTAAATACTCAAGTATATACAAGCACCACAACATTGTGTCTAATTATGAGTAAATATACTTCCACCACTGCTGGTTACACACTATAGGTGGGACTGATTAAATCCACAATAGTCTAATAAAAAGATGCACAAAAAAGAAACAACAACAAAAACTGGTGAAAACCGGAAGTCACCACAATTAAAAAAAAAGATAAAACAATATATCAATAAAGACAACACCAAGTCACAAAAGCGGTCTTCGAGAATTATTTTAAATGAAGATGCTGACTGTGCAGCACTAACACATACAAACAGTGCCATGAAGCATAATTTAAAAAGCAGCTGCATAACATGTGCACCCTAAAATGCATCTGTAAGTTTTCAAAAATAATTAACAAGTAAAAATAAATAAATAGGTAAATAACATCCTGATCAACAAACATTACAATCAGAATTGTTTGAACTGTAGTTGGAGAAAAAAAAAGTTTATGGTGCTTTCCTGGTGGTAAGACAGTCTTATATCAACAGCGGTGTCTGTTGTGAATGTGTTTCATGTTGTTGAATAGGAAATCCCCCAAGAAGCAGGCACTCTTTGTTTTGGTGTCTCCAAAAGCCCCTACCCCTCATTGTCTAAAGGTCCAAGCCCATCAGTAGGAAGTTATGTGGATGATTCAGTGGTGCTGCACACTTCTCGGAAGTCATCCGCGCTTGTCTGTGTATGGCCCAATAATCATAAGTTCATCTCGCACGTTGCCTCCTTTCCTGTTCTGTGCTTTGTCTGGTCTTTGTTCAAAAAAGGAAGTTTGTCAGACAGCCATTTACATGGTCAGCAGAAACTGACACAATCTGCTAAAGAAGGCAAGGCAAGTTTATTTATATAGCACATTTTCATACACAAAGGCAATTCAAAGTGCTTAACACAACGCACGCAAAGTCAAAGGTCAAAGTGTTTATTTGTCATATGCCCAGTTAGGAAACACCTTTCCCTGTACGATGAAATTCTTACTTTGCCGTCCACATAAATGCCACAAAATACTAATGAAATATAAAGTAGATAAATAAGTAACACAAAATCTAAGGCACTTTAAACAGCAAATACAGCAATATAATAAAAAAATATAAGAATATAATAAGTCAATGTGCAATTATGCATGTGCAAACTGAGAATGTAAGCAGTACAGGTCGACAGTACATGACATATTCATGGTAGTAAACTCCTCAGCTGTTTAGGAGTCTGATGGCAGAGGGAAAGAAAGAGTTTTTCAGTCTAGAGGTCCTACATTTCACACTTCTGAACCTCCGGCCAGAGGTTAGGGAGGCGAACAGTCCGTGCTGGGGGTGGGTGGGATCTTTGAGGATGGAGGCAGCCTTCCTACGTACCCTGCGGTGGTAAATGTTCTGCAAAGAGGGCAGTGGAGTCCTGGTGATCTTCTCTGCAGTCTTTACCACTCTCTGCAGGCACTTGCGGTCCATAGCAGTAGTGCTGCCATACCAGACGGTGATGCAACTGGTCAAGATGCTCTCAATGATGCAGCTGTAGAAGATGCAAAGGATCCTAGGCGACATGCCAAACCTCCTCAGCCTCCTCAGGAAGTACAGCCACTGTTGGGCCTTCTTGACCAGCTGTGTGCTGTTATGTGTTCAAGTGAGGTCCTCAGTGATGTTGACGCCCAGGTATTTGAAGCTGCTCACTCTCTCCACTTCGAGCCCCCGGATGAACAGTGGCTGATGAGATCTCCTCTCCTTCCTCATGTTCACTATCGTTTCCTTCGTCTTGTCCATGTTGAGGCTAAGATTATTGCCCTTGCACTAAGATACCAGACCAGCCACCTCCCTCCTGTAGGCTGCTTTGTCCGCGCCGCTGATGCGACCTATCACTGCGGTGTCGTCCACAAACTTTAGGATGATGGGTAAAACATTAAAACTGTCATAATAACTGATGAAGCCTCTTGGATGAGAGGTGAAACGTCTTCAACCTAAAAACCTAGTCCAGTTGATTTTTTCTATGACCTGGATGACTGAGAATCTGCACGGACATTAAAATGCATATATATAAAACATTAGAATGTAAATTAGACTGAACCATTAAATGCAAAAAAAAGTAACTATTACATGACAGCACACAGTTGTAACATACAAGTGTATACAGGCAGTACTGTTTGGACTGCTGTGGTAAACTGTGGATTTGCACTGTTCTCATTACACTTTATACCCCTTTACTTCAGTCTTCCCAAGACTAACGTCTGAAAAAAGAAAAGAAAACTAACTATCATCTTATTTGTCAGTGAATAAGTAGTTCTTTCAACTTTTACTGACTGAAGTAGAGTGTTTGTCTTTTTGGCACAGATAAATTGCTCTTTTGTGTTAAGTTGAATGGTGAATATGCTGGTCTTTGGTGGAGTTACTTTAGGTCACCTTGATCATCCAGCTTTGAATTAAATGACATGGTTCCATAAAATCTTTCCGGTTTTGGTTTCCCTTGTTTAGCCTAAAGATAAGATTAGATGCATTCTGTGCCGGCATGGTGAAGTTCCACTAGGTGCACAGTCATGATGGGACATGTTGTATGGTGGGGCTTTAAATACATGAACAGTTAAAAACAGCAAAGTGGTCTCTACTCTCATTTGCACTATTAAAGGCTGCAAATTTTTAATTGTGCTTCAGTTGTTTGTTTTCTTTTGTCCCTCTGAGAAGTTTGCTCTGCTGGCAAATACTGTAACTTCACTCAGCAGAGGAATCCAAAATGATATCATCCAGTGGAGCTCAACTGCATATCCAGTCGTAGTTAGCCAGTTAAAATGATGACAAGATTCCAGATCATGAGTCAGGCAAACTACATACAGTGTCAAGATGAAAATTTCTAAATAGAGACATGGCATTACAACTAAATGTTATGATATGGCTTTCTTCTGCAGATTTCCTGTTGAACGAGGTTGCTCATGCTACCTTGTACAGCTATTCAGTGAAAAGCTCCTTAATGGAGGAACACCAGCCAGTCAGACACCAAGGTAACTAACACACTGGAGGCGGACATGATGCAGCCTGTCCACTCTCTCTACTCCATTAAAGGAAAATGGACGCATCCAGCTGAATTGCCACAGTGTTTGATCAATAAATAAATTGATAAATAAATACATTTACTTCTTTCTGGATGAAATAAAAAGTCACCAAAGATGAATATCGGATAAAAGAAATAAACAGAGTTTACAAAAGATTAAAAAGGTGCAGTGTAATGGAAGATACTGTATGAATAAATAGCTCTGAATATAATGTCATAAAAAGTGCAGTGTAAATAATATATATAGTATTTGTTAGCATGTTCAACAATCAACCAGCCTTTTATTGACAGGGTTATGTGATCACAAGACAGTAATGTCCTATACTTTACATGGTGTCCTGGCCAAAGTGTTGTGATTAGCACGAGAATATGCATGCGTTTGCTGCATAATTAAAGTGCAAAGGAATGCTGGCGTGGGATTGGTGGAGCAGTTGGATCATGAGAAAGGCCTCTCTGTTTATTGGTCTACAAAGGCAAAGAGACCTCACATTGTGAGTCTGGGCAGCGTTGGGTTACTGTATTGTACGTCGTTTTCCCACTTCCCTTTCGCTCCTCACACAACCATGCACCAGAAGAAAGTGGCTTTTCATTGATGGGTCAGTTGGAGCATGCACAGGAACTCAGTGAAGAGGAGAGTCAGTCGACTAGCTGCAACTGCCTTTAATGATCCTAAGCCATTCCCCAGCAACAAGCAATCTGCATGAATGGTACAGAATGACTCATTACTTCCAATACTGCCATAAAGCAGTGAGTAGAGTGCAATAAATGGCAGGTTTATTGTTATTGTGTAACTTGTTCAAGGTCCTTCCTCTCTGAATGGGAAAGAATCTTCACTACTGAGCTTCTAGGAGTCAGCTGCAGAATCCTGTGCTGGAGAAAATCCTTGTAGGTTGAAGACTATCCAGTGTGCTTGCCTGTAACAGTGTCTTGGGTCATTTTGGCAGAGACTGGACTATAAACCTCCCCGCAATCCATTAAAGAGCTGCTAACCTTATTTAAACCCTACTAGCTAGCATCCAGGACCGGCTTCTATACAGTGGGAAACAGTATCTGCAGGATGTGCTAGTGATGGACAATGTAATATGTAACAAACTAATGTGGATAGCACATGAGCCAAACTAAAACCTCAAAGTACAAAGCTGGAAAGCTACAACTGGACAGTTGCTCATCATTTACTCCTTTCCCCTGGAAACCAAAATTAAAGTCTCTCTTTTGCTTGGTGGTTGAGTGAGGCATTTGTAAAGGAATTTCATCAGCAGCAAGGAAGGTACCTATGGGATTTCAAATGTCTAAGTATTAATCAGAGCAAGCAAAAAGCACATAAAAATGCTCAGGTCATTTTCAGGTAGCATTTTCTTCCTGTTATTCCTTCAGCTATTGCCCCTTACTCCACTTAATTCCTTTTTGTGTACACTATCACACCACCAGTTGCGCAACCGGTCTTGGCTAGAGGTCTGAGTTTTCTCTTGTGGTAGTGTAACAAGGAGTCCTGCCACTAAGTGTTTGGCCAAATCCTTCCTCCTTTGCTAAAACTGATGCCCCACCCCTCCTGCTGCACTCCCCCCTCTCTCGCAGTCACGCATGTTAACTAGTAAGCTGCCTTTCTCACATAAGGGCCCAAAGGACAAAGCAGCTGGTAACACTGTGCATACAGAGAGGTTTGAAATATAAAGTAAAGCCTTGCCTTTTTCTTTTGCATTATGTAATTTCTCAAAAGAAAAGGCATATTGATCCTATTGCTAAGACACAGCTGTAAGAAATGTGCTACTGGGCAACATTTTTTCTCAAAAAAGTAAATACCCAATAGAAAATTCAAACTAATGAGGATATGAAGACTGTTAATTAGTATATGTTTTAACTAAGAAACCTGGAGCTATTGAAAAAGCTATGGACAGAAAGGCAGAAGTACAAGGGTGCATGTTTTAACAAGTTATCACTAGTCTACTGGATAATATGTTTTGTCCAATGTTGGGGAAGCTACCTTGAAAGCTTTGAAACCAATGACTTCACACTGGAAGTACAGCAGAACTACCCTAGGGAGAAATCTGATTTGGTTAATCAATGCTACTTAGAAAATGCAGTTCAAACTACTTTGTAAAAACACTGATCAAATTATTGATGTACATGTGATACAAAATTATAACTAAATGTAATACAAACAATTCACAGGTCAATAAAAAATGCTACTGAGTTGAATTTATTACATTTCAGTCTGGGCTTTTCACAAGTACAACTTTGCAAGGAATGTTGTATTTTTGTTATAAACTGGATTTTGCATTATCTGACTACAACTAACACAGTAAAGAGAAATTTGCCTGGTCCCTTGTAAGAGTGTTTGACTGACTTGAGCATTGGTCTAAAAATGGGCCTGTCTTTTTAGTTGTTGGAGTGGTTTATATGATACATGAACAGCCTATTTAAGCTCTTATCTGATAGGTAATGCTTAAATGAAATGCCAAAGGAAGAAGAGGCAGGATGGAAGTTGAGTTTACACAAGGAAGGACACAGACAATGATAGAGGAAGGGCACGATAATATATAAAACTTGCCTTATCATTTCCCTAAAGAACAAGAAACAATGATGTATAATAATTACAATGGTGTCTAGGCTTCTTGTTGTGTTTCATCCTGTGGACCTACAGTGAGGACATGAAGAGGTGGAAGATAACCCTTTGCACATGTGGAGGTTATTTTGGAAGTCCAGGAAAGGGATGGGAGACCAACGCCCCTAATGTAGTCATTCTGTGACTTGCAACTAAGATTATTATTATTATTATTATTATTATTATTATTATTATTAGTACTACTATTGTTGTTGTTATTGTTTTCCCAATCATCAGTTATTGTGGAGATTACACCACTGGTCTTATAGTTTTACCACTTACCTAAATAAGAAAATGTTTAGAGCAGAAAAATGTTACATATTGTAAGACAGTAGTCACAGTGTGACATTAGCTTTCATTTGGCGTCATGTTTCTGGCCACCTGATGAATGTAAGTCCATTACACATGTATATTCAGATCAGTGAGGCTAGTGCTCCACTATATTCACCAGCTAAACTCTAACTTTTGTCTATTTGCTTTTTTTTTTTTGCACAGATGAAAGAAATACTGAATGTCACTTTAAAAGTAGCTATTTTTGTTAGTTGATTTAGAAGATTTACAACAAACTGGACAACTGCATGTCTGTCTGCATCCATTCACACTTTTTCATGTAGTCTACTGGATTTAGCTAGCCAACTAGCCTTGTAGCTATCCTGCCTGTTAAGCTGTGATTAGCACAGGCTACGTGTACAGTGAGTTTGTCGCTGCTTTTCCTCTGAAAACAGCTGCTTCCTGCTGGAAACAATCTAGACAAGAACTGTGAGACTGTATCATAATGAGCCATAGAGCTGACGGGAATATATGTTGGTTCATCACTGTGAGCAACTGCTTTTATCACACATTACACATTTTATAAACAAAAATATTGGATAGTGCACATTTAAGCTTGAAGTGTTTCATACATTGTTGTCTGGGGAAAAAAACTAAACAGGCTACACAACATTATGAATGTTAATGCATTCTCTTTTATAAAACTAAGAAACAAACAAAGAAAAAACAGTGCTGCTTCTACAATGAAACTGCTCATTTACAAAGAACTGTTGTTTTTCAGATGATACCTGCAGCTGTGCTTTGCTTGCAGCAACACTCCTCCACACTTTGCTTCATCTGAGGTCAGTAAACACACTCTTTTTTTCCATCTTGTCTGTGTTTGTCATTGGATACACCACTCTGCTATGTGTATCTCAGTGGGGAAAGCTGGGGGAGTTATGTGACCATGGACCTCTCTTGTTACAAAACATACACAGTTGCCGAACAGCCTGGCGGATTCTAAATGTCAGACAGGAGATACAAACTCTCTGTCACACATAAAAGATGTTCTGATTTTCAATTTGGGCTGGCTGGCTTGTAGTCTTGCCTGTGGCTGATCTGTACCTACTGTATAGTAAAAGCTGCTTCGTAGGGAGAAGAATGTTGATTCCTACTGTCCCATAAAGTTAGAGAACAATAATGAAAGAACTTTGCATTTCTAAAAGCCTGTATAAGATAAACAAATACAGTGATAGTAGTTGAGGATTAGAAGCATATATTTTGGTTAGCATTATATCTGTGCAGTTCAATTGAAAGTGCTCAATTAACTGACTGTTCTGATTCTACTATTGGCCTCTTGTCACATGACACATTTACTTGAATCCAAATGCAACATTTTATGAAAAACTATACGCACAGCTTAGATAGATAACATAGAAATTCAGAACTTTAATTTGACCATTATGTTATATATAAAGAATGTATCCTGTATGCCTTGCTTTTCAGTAGCTGTTTCTCCTTCCCTTGGATTAGACATACCTCTCTCTACACATTTCCTTGTCCTTAGTCCTTATTCAATATACACACTCAAAGTGGAGGCAAGTCCACACCACATCTGATCCTGTGTAAGGCTACTGTGGAATCCTAAAACATGCAGTAGGTTTACTTTTCTAATGTCTTGGGAAAGGAAATGTTATTTTTTTATTGCACCTTTCAAATAAAATTACTGAATAAAATGAATGTTACTGTTGCCAAAGGAATAAAAGTCAGTCCTGTTTCTTTAAAGATGGAGCAGATATGAGATCAACTGGGAGTTTGTTTCAGAACAGTCAGCAAACTAGTTCCAAGACCTGAGAGGTGTGGTAGGTTCAGCATACAACAGAAGATCAGACCCTTAAAATGTCTTGTGCTTTTATAAACAAGCAAAGACATTTTAAAATGGACCAGTGCAATGATGTGAGAACTAGAATTATGAGCTGCCTTTTCTTACTTCAGCAACAGACCAATCTGGTAGTCTGAAAGCTACTATAGTGAGTCCTGGACACTATCCAGTTTATAGTATTATCATGACATCTGTAAAATAGTACAAGCTATGGAGTAGCTATCATTCTCAGGAGACTCCACGGTAGCCTAAGAAGCAACGTTCTGCCATCTACAGGCCAGCTCCACTCCACTGCATTTGAAACTGTCTAATACAGTGCATCTTGGCTCCCTGAGGCATGATCCACATACAAACACCTTCTGTATGTGCAGCCCGCTTTCATCAAGTAGGAAATTATGCATATAAATGAAAAACATAAAAATAGTGAAACAAAAGTTGTGGAAGTGCCTTAGTCAAGTCAAATATATATAATAAGTTATAACAAACCCCACATCAGGTTTACTGTGTTTATATAGTATATTTGGCACATAGATGACAAAATATACTTTTAGGACGTAGAGATACCTAATTGGGTTTGCATAGCACTCCTGACAAATAATCTTCAGGTCTCCTAATATGGAGTGATGTAAATATATAATGCACTGTAATCATCACTAGAGGGTAGCAAATACACATTACTGCAATAGCATGTGTCTAAACGAATGCACAATACAAGACAATTCACTGTCTCCTGTGCTGGAAAAAATGTTTTACTGCGAGCAAAGCATGATAAATGTTTTACCCTAAAAATATCACTTTTTTCTATTTAAAAAATGCCCCTTATTTGCTTTCTTATCTGTGATATATCTACTAGAATTTACTTCTGGGTACTTGTGTTTCTGATCCTGGATTTTTATTATACCATCCAAACAGCACTGATAAGAAGCCAGAAACTAACCAGTAACACAATATGTTGTGATTTAGTTTAAGGTGATGAATGATATTTTGTATAATACATGTATAGTGTATAATCTGATCTATTGATTTGAGTTGCAGTAACTGCATTATGCCTGTTTGATTGTGTAAAAATGCTGTAAGAAAATGTAGTCCTGAATAATACACTGACCTCAGTCCTTCTTTTGACATTGAATGGAGTTTTATCATAGTTTTCTCATGCTGAATCAAGAAGTCCCACAGGATCTTAGCTTGGTCATTCTCAACCACCTTTGGAGGTGTATCCCATTTTGACTTTGGGACTTCCAGCCTGTACTTGGCACAGATGTTTCTGTACACTATGCCAGCCACTTGGTTATGGTGTTCCATGTATGCCCTGCCTGCTAGCATCTTGCACCCTGCTGTTATGTGCTGGATTTTCTCAGGGGCATCTTTGCACAGCCTGCACCCTGGGTCCTGCGTGGTATTGTAGACCCCGGCCTCTACTGATCTTGTACTTAAGAGCCTGTTCCTGTGCTGCCAGGATTAGTGCCTCTGTGCTTTCAGTCCAGCTTTGTCCAACCATTGGTAGGATTTTTCGACATCACCCACTTCTTCTATCTGAAGGTGGTACATACCGTGCAAGGGTTTGTCCATCCATGAGGGTTCCTGCTTCACAAGCAAGTGAAGATCCTCTGCTATCCGTCTCCATACGTTATCTTTGTAGTTTTTGTCCTTTTTATCATAGATAACTGAATTCGCTGAAACAAATTGGATTAAGCGGTCCGCCATGTTGAATTTGACGTCGACAAGCTGCATTGTGATTGGTCAGAGGTGCTGCTGTCGCCGCGACGAGTTGGAAAAATCGACCCGGAGGCGGAAAAAAATTAATGTCGCTTTTCGCGTCGGTCTCCTCCTTTGGCTAGCTTATTCAAGTCAAGATTTTTATTTGCCATTTATGCATAAACAGACAGTCTAGGCATATAGGAATTCTTGTGCAGCTCTCCTTTGGAATCAGGTAAGGAGTCAAAAGCCAGAAAGAAAAATTACTCTTAAAATATAAAAGTTACATAAAGGCAACAAAGCATTAAAACTGCAATACACAAAAATCAGTGACGTGCGGTCAGGGGAGGCAGGTGAGATCTTGAAAAGAAAAAAAAAGTTAACCATAAACTATAATAAATGTTAATATTTGTCGGCTGGTGTGTGTTGTAGGCCCTTTTGCCGTTCGAATCCGATGTTGAAGGATTTTTTTTTCAATAAAGAATCAAAATAATCCTTTCAACTGTTTCATAAATGGTCTGGATATATTCATGTATCGCAGCAGACAGCTAGTGCTGTGTAATTTCTACAAAAAACATGATTAAGTACCAAAAGAATCTGCCAGACAAACTGAAATTGTAACACTCAGAAGTTCAACAATTGCAGCTGTAAACTGTAGAAAATGTCAAAGCAAACTGCCTGACAGTTCTTAGCAATATTAACAAAACCCTCCGTATACCGCTTGCATTCCATGAGGGTGTATTTTTCCATTTTCAGTAGAGCAAAAACAAAGACCATTGTGAGAATATCCACTTACTAATTGGTGAACACAGTGACACGGCTGACTTGATGACAGCTGTCAGTGTGACAATGAACATTATCAGGTGGGATTTAAATTGTTCTGCTGAAGGCAGCCAGGCAGTGTACAGAAGGGATTTGAAAAACAAGGTTTAGTAAGAGAGGGGGTGTTTAGAGGCTGTCACTCAAACCAGACCTCTACCAGGACTTAATGTATAAGTTTCTGTGCTGAGGATTCATAAATTATAAATTATGAATGGCCCCAAACAAGGTAAAAGCAACAACTATGCCACAAGCTATTTTGTAACAAAAGCTAAACACTACTTCACTTCAACTGAAAACAGCATGTTTAAATTTTTGCATCTACTGGTATTCACTAAGCACATCATCACTCGGGGCCATCTTCCTGATGTATTCATGGATCTTGGTTGTTTGATCCTGGATAGTGGCTCTGAAAATCATTAATCCTCTGCTTCCTTCCTTCCACTTAGTGTACAGTTTCAGGATGCTGGATTTAGCGTGAAACCTGCTGTGCATTGTAAGGAGCTTCCTTGGTGGTCAGTGGCCTCTATCTCCTCCTTTGGCCAGCTTATTATGCCAGCGGGGTACCTGATGACCAGCAGGGCGTAGGTATTAATTGCCCGGACTTTGTTCTTTCGATTCAGCTGCCTTCTCAGGACTTGCCTTACTCTCTGCAGGTACTTGATAGTTGCTGCTTTCCTTGCAGCCTCTTCATGGTTGCTTCCGTAGTCAGTATCAGTTACCACTCTTGGTGATGATCTGGCTGAGGGGGTTCAGCCCTATGCAGAACTGCAGTGGGGACAGAGCATCTCCTTGGTAGATACCGCACTTGATGTTGACTTGTGCAATTGGCTTGAAGTTGGCCTCTAGGGTTGTTTTTTCACATTCCCACTGAGTTCTGTTGATGTTGTACAGTTCCAAGCATTCCAGGATCCATGTGTGAGGCACTGAGTCATAGGCTTTCTTGTAGTCAGTCCAGGCAGTGCACAGGTTGGTATGTCTGGTCTTGCAGTCTTGATTGACTACTTTATAAACTAGTAGCTGGTGCTTTGCTCCTTTGGTGTTGCTACTAATGCCTTTCTGGGTGCTGCTCATGTATTGAGCCATGTGCCTGCCCATCTTAGCTGCCATGATGCCTGACAGGAGCTTCCATGTTGTGCAGAGGCAGGTTATTGGGCAGTAGTTGGATAGTAACACTCCCTTTTGTGGGTTCTTCAGGATCAGGACTATCCGGCCTTCAGTTAACCACTCAGGGTGGGTTCCATCCATTAGTAGCTGGTTCATTTGTCCCGCTGGGCGCTCATGGAGTGAAGTTAGCTTCTTTAACCAGTAGGCGTGGCTCATGTCAGGGCCTGGTGCTGTCCAGCTCTTCATACTTGAGACCCTCTCTTGGATATCTGCCATTGTGATGGCTACTGGATCTTGTGCAGGGAGGTTGCTGTGGTCTGCTCTCAGGTCCACCAGCCACTGGGCATTGTTGTTATGTGA